TTTTAAGGGGAAAAAAATCAATTTTGTTCACTTTAATACTATATCATCAGTGAACCCAACTAGAATTTTTAGTACTGTAGGACAGATAGTTCTCTTAAGCTAAAAACACTACCTCCACCAGCACAGTCCTTCTGAGACAGCCTACGGCAGTGGTCACCAACCAGTCAACCTTGATCCATCAGACGCTCCACAATTGGGAGCAGTGTGACAGCCAGAACCAGAGGGATTAAGAAGCAATAAATGTGTGCTTCTTGGAGGCATTTAGTATTTTGCCTGATAGGCAATGTTAGTTGATATAAAGCTTGTAAATTCGAAACCCACAAATGTAACTTGTCTGTCATAAGTTTAACCAAAATGATAAAACTAACTGTTCGTGGAACTGACTGGGCCCCAAAGGCTAAGCTGCAGCTACAATATTAGTTGACCTAACGGTTTTTGCTCAGGGTTCAGCCTTGACAATAAAAACTGAATCCAACCGCCTGGCACACCCAACACATTCCAGGAAAGCATGTCTCAAGAAAGCATATTCAGAAAAACCTAAAAGGGTTGGGTTTAGTACTGTTAATACCAAACCTAAAAATGCTGCATTGTGATTTGCTTATTGGATAAACCCGACACTGGGTAGTAACCTTTTATGATAATTTTTAACACCTTTTAATCCTCTAAGGTAACAGCTATAAAGCCAGACTATGAGTGGCTCTAAAGCCAACAGATTAGCATAAGACTAGGTATAATAAGCACGTGCATCAGGTGACCAGTAGGAAGGAGGGAACAGAACAGTCATTGCTGTTCCAAGCCCAGACCCCTGTGCGAGTGAAGATTGGATCCTGATCAAGTGACCTTCCCCGGTAATCCCTCCAACAACGTCGATCGGGGATGCCTGACTTCACTGGAATCACTTGGCGTACACCTGGCATCAAGGGGCTATCGATAAGTTGCCAATCCATGTCTGTCTTTCTGTTGTTTTGAACAGCCCAGTGGCTGATACCCTCGCAGCGCCCAGTTGGCCTGCGACAGATTGATCCATCTATCTGTTGTTATTATTTACTATTAGCTCTTTAATACTGCATTATCTGGTTGTCACATTTATCTTTCTGTTAACTGTTGTTTATGTAAGCTATAAGAAATTTGCCTTTGGTTCACTCCCAACTCTGCCCCCTCAATCCTGAACCAAACAGCCCAGTGGCTGATACAGTTGCAGCACCCAGTCAGCCTGCAACTAAACTGATACACTTACAGTGCCCAGCTGGCCTGTGACAAAGCGGCAGGACACACGTGGATGGGCTGAGCTATGCCCCATGCCCCCCAGGCCGGGCTGGGTGAGTGGGGTCAGAGCCCAAGCGGCTTGTCCAGGAGGCAGGTGGGGAGGGGCGAGCCAGGGACCATAGATCCTGGGGTGCCCTTTACTTACAAAAAGTGATCTTCACCATAAAAAGGTTGGAGACCACTGGCCTATAGCTAGGTAAATAAAGCTTAAATCTGCCATTTTAGATTCAGCATTAAAGATTTGCTCATAAGAGTTGTAAAAAAAGGAGGAAAAAAAATATTAATACCACTTAAGAGATTATATGGGTTTTGAACTTATGGTTGCCTGGCCAAAAAAGGACTTTGATAGGTATGGGGATAGACAATGGGGACTTTGCTCTGTACCTTCTGATGTTCCAGTTGTGCAATTAGCTGAGAATCATATTCAGCACAGTCAGTACTCCACGATTCGAACAGCAATGGTTAAACTCTGCTTCACCTTCATGTGCCGAAGTTGCACTTGCATAGTCATAGAATGGCAATTTTTGGAACTTACAGTATGAATTCCATATAGCTACACTTGGCCTGTGCTCCCCTACTGAGCATTGTTAGGAGGCTGTACTCAGGCTGCACTGGTACCCAAGGGAAATTGAATCGGCTGAACATACTATTAATACCATTTAATTTCCAAATGGGAGTCACAGAAAGACAACTAGTAGATTCTTGATGCCAGAAAACATTTCTACCCTAAGTCTAGCAATCAAGTTACTTACTAGTTCTCTCTGGGCTACTTTTACTCAGCTACATACTGAGTGACCTTGTTCACCACAAATGAAAACAGAACAAACTCTGTGCTAAGTAGCAAAAAATTGCATTGCAAGCATGTAAAATTGAAATGGGATTTAGCCCAACTTTCATAAAGCCAAACAAAGATTTGTTCCTGACTCCAGGGCTATTCTGCCAAATTTGGAAGTGCTGCAGGCAACAGTCAAGTCACTATTAATATTATGCTTTTGTACTACAGCATTGGATAAACTAGAGACCCTGTAGATTGGCATCTGTTAAGTCTTGCTAAGTCTTCATTAAAACATTGGCTCAACAAGACCTCAACTTCTAGCAAGCCTTTCACCACCTTTACCTTACCTCCCCCGTCTTAAGTTTAACAAGGTCTCAGCTTCTAATTAGGTGCCCCCCACATTTTTACTCCCTTCCTGGAAGGTGACCAGCCTGTTGGGATACCAAAAATATGTTAATTAGAGAGCTTCAAGGCCTTTTCAGACCACACCTGGAAGATGATCAAGTAACACATCTTCCAAGAGCATAGGAAGATATTTGAAAGGAGGCTGACCAATAAGGGATGGCTGACTTTTACACATACCAAGGTCATGAAATAGAGCAGTGGTTCTCAACCTTTTTCCTACCAGGACCCATTTGCAAAGGTTCATGGCCTGTCCCAACCCATACCCCGCTCGTCCTGCTGGGGCATGACCCACAGTCCCTGGTCCTGTCCTGTCCCCCAGGTCATGCTGGTGTCCCTCACACCCAACCTACAGCCCCTGCACCCTCAGCCCTGCCAGTGCCCCTCACTCCCAACCTGCAGTCCCTGTTCCCTCCAACCCTGCCACCCAAGCCCTGCCGGGACTCATTCCCAACCCACAGCCCCTTGCCACCAGCCCTGCCAGAGGGGCCTCCAGCTGCCCCAGTCCCACTTGGGCCAGAGCATGGTGGCTGCAGCAGCTCCAGCTCACGTGGGGGGCAGCGGAGCAAGCTGGAAAGAGGAGGAAGGGAGGCATGCGGCAGTCCCTGAGCTGGGCTGGGGCTGTAGCGCCAAGCAGGCAGCCTGGTCACAGCCCATTCTGCCCCCTGAGCAGTATCTCCCAGCCACCCACCCCCGCGAGCAGCCAGCCCACCCTTGCATCTCTCCCCTGTCCCCTTCCCCCCACCACTCTGTCCTGCCGCAGTCCCAGCACTTTCCCGCGATCAGCGTTTCCCAACTGCAGCTCAGACCCTCTGGCATCTTCTTGCAACCCATGGGTTAAGAAACACCTGCATAAGTATCTCTGTGGTAACAGTTGATTGGTTTTATTGTGGAATCATTAGAATCTGTGTAGTTTCTATAGTTATTCAATGTATAACAAACACATCAAAGACAAAACTTACATCACCCTTTGGACAGGTAAACCCTTGCATACTTCCACTCTGCCAGCCACTCTGATCAGCCAGCTGATCATGATTAAAGGCTCTCATTATACTCACTCATGAAACATTTACTGTGGAGTTGACTAATTAGCTCTGCAGTAAACATCTCATGTCTACACATGCAGTGCTATTAGACAGGAATAAACTCCACAGCAGAATAGTACTGGAGCTAATACAGGTACAATCTAACACAAGTACCAACACAATATTAGTAAATACAAGTACTATCCTGCTGCAGGGTTTTGTACTCTGCAGCAGCACACATGTAGATGCTGACCAGGCTGGCTATGACATGAGGATGCTTCAGTGCATCCTCATGCCCCAGCCAGCCCCTCCATGGCACATCGAGCCAAACTAGAGCAGTGGGCTGGCAGGCTGACCACCCCCCAGGGTCCCCGAGCAGCCAGAGCTGCTTTGCCCAGTTTAGTGTGCTGCATTCCCACACACATGTAAATGTGGTGCCTGGGAAGCAATACATTCCAACACATTAAGTTCCAGAGTTTATTGTTTCAACTTAATTGCATGTGTAGAAGCACCGGTTGTGTTGTTTTTGTAAGTTTAATAAGTACAGCTAACCAGTGATGGACCATTTGGGGCTAACGCTTGGTCAACCCAGCCACTAGCAACATGCAACACAATCCAGTCACAGACAGGGATGCTAGTCGACTAGTTTCTGAATACACACATAGCAGAAAAGGTGATCTCTAACCCAAGAGGCTTGAGAGCTTTAAAAACTTCTGGAAAAGTATTTGCAATGAAATCTTTTCTGCATCTTTTAACACAGCAGTTGCCTTACAATGAGTTAACCCTAGCATTTTTCTTTAATAAAAATCCCTTTAGTGTGCTTTTCTTTTTGCTAACTATCTTCTCTTTTCCTATATCCAGTCACATAAATTAATGATGCAAAACAACAAATAGTCTCCTGGTGGGACTTCTCCTTTCCAGACTAGAAACCAATCCTTCCTTCCACCGCCTAGCATTAAGTGATCACGTGGAATGAAATATTTTTTAAAATCATATTCCAACATAACCAAATGTGCTCATCCAGCCTTTGTAAGAACATCAGATGTAATCCTCAAACGACAGATGAACAGAGGAACAATACACAATACGCAACCAGAGGTGCACAAAGGCTAGAAACAGCTGTCACCAAAGGGAGTGATTCAGCTGTGCCTTGTGACCTGGGCCAGCGGGCAGAAGTCCACACTCAGCCAGACCCACGGGTCTTCCCCACCCAGCCCAGGATTGCGGGAGTGGGGAACAGCAGCCAGGCCCCACAGGGCCGAGCACGGGTGCACCTTCCCTGCTGCCCCAGATCCAGGGCGCAGGCCTGCAGCGACAGGCAAGGGGCGTTTGGCCAACCGCGGGCCACTGCCCAGGAAGGGTTAGCTTCCGGACCGGAAGTGACCGCGGACTGGCAAACTGAAATCTGTCCCGGCGGGCCGGCTCCGCCCGGCCCCAGGTCCCCACGCACCCCGGCTCCGCCCCGAGGCGCGCGGCACCGCCGGCCAGTTGGAGGGCGGGACCTCGCAGCCCCTCCCCCCGCCGCGACCTCTGCCCCGGAAGCGGGCTGTGGGGCGCGCACGCGGCCGCGGGACAGGGTAGTCGGTGCTGCGGGCGCTGACACTTCTCTGCCCCGGCCGGAGTCGCGCAGGACGAGCCATGGAGTACGTGCCGCCACACGCGGCGCCCACCCAAGGACACATGTGAGTGCGGGGCCTGCTGGGGGGAGGGCGGGTGTTGCGCACTTAACGCGTGTCAGCGGGGCCGCTACTGCGCCTGCGCGGGTGCCCGCCCGGGGAATAGAAGCGCGCGGTAGTGGCCGCATTGGTGTTGCCTGGGTACAAGAGATCGTAGTAAAAGCATTCAGTGTAGGATATTTTTCTATATGTCAGGTATCTAGGTTGTAGCCGGATTGGTCTAGAGGCCAAAGCAATCGGGACTCGTGGAAGAGGTGATCTCGTTTATTAGACCAACTAGATTTGTGCAAAAAACCCCTTTTTTGCAAAAATCTAGTTGGTGTAAGAAAACTTACCACCTCTCCCATGAGTCCTGGATATTTTTTGAGGTAGCTAATTGATGCAGTATATGCAAAACCCAAATCACTCTCAGGGAGTCTTAACCAATTTTGGGGGTTGCTGTCAGCGCTTTGCTTGTCTGGGAATAAAGAAATGCTTCAATTTTGATGACCCGGTTCTCACTCACTGGTAATTTGCTGTGAGCAATATAAGGTAAATAACAAAGTGCATTCGCATGTTTTTCAGTGTACAGTAGTTTTTCAACAAATAAAGTAATTTTGTGTTTCCACGGTGATAAGTTCATATTTAGGATCTGGCATAACTGAGCAGTGGCAGCGTCCAACTCTGCAACGGGTTAGGCGCAAGCATCCTTTGCTGACAGCAGCTCCCACTTCTTTCCTTCCTCAGCCTGTGCTGTGAGTGCGGTGTGCCTGTGCCTCCCAACCCTGCCAGCATGTGCGTGGCCTGCCTGCGCTCCCGTGTGGACATCACCGTCGGCATCCCCAAGCAGGCCAACATTCACTTCTGCAAGCAGTGCAGCAGGTGCGGAGCGCGCTTCCAACACGACTCTGCCTCGGTGCCCGGTCTCATCTGCGCCAGGGTCGTGTGAGTGGCACGGGGCTGGTCCACAGTTTGGATCAGGCCCTGTGCTGCTTCCATGCACCCAAATCAGGTCCCGCTAGCCCAGTGTAGCACACAGGTCAGCACTGTCCAGCCCTCAGGGCTCCCCAGGGGCCAGAAACTTGGCAGCAGGGGATTAGCAATTCATTCTGCCATTGCTTACCCACTGCCAAATTTTGGGGCCTGTGGGGAACCCTACAGGCCAAAAGCCATGGCTCTTGGGACCAGATCCAGCCCCCAGACTAGGGGTTGAGCACCCCTGGTCTACGCCTTTGATCATATTTTTTTAGCCCTTTCATTTGCCAGCGTAAACAGCCCCAGCAGCATGGTATGTGTTGCTAGGAAACATTCAGATCATAACATAATTGTTAATCATTTAAGCTCAGTTTATATTTATAAAATCCTGTGAGTCTGGGGAGTTTTAACTGAGGGCAGCACAAAGGCCTTTGGGTTGCAGGCCCACATTAAAGTATTCTCAAAGAGAAAAACTTGGTAGTTCAGGGGGTTGTTGATGGGAAAAGCCATGTGAATGTGAACGTTGTGTTATGAGGATAAGATTATTTGGTTGGGCCCTTGACAGACTTCTGCTTTAAGATGTGATGGGATCTGATCTGGGATCCCAGCAATCACACCACATGTGCATGGCAGTTTGCAAGATTTTGGGATCAAAGATTATAGGCCAGTCACATCTTACTTGCTGGTGCGGGGAAGCCTGGGACCATGAGCCCAGGCTCCCCCTGCATAAGTAAGATGAAACAAGGTAAGTGAGATGAATCAATTGATTATCAATTTCATATGGGAACCAAATCAGTCCCTGGCCCCAGACAATAATCAGCTGATTCTCCAAGCCCGTGTGGGGGCACACTAAGCTTTTACTCATTCCTGTGCACGGGGACCATGAGATCTGGCTGCAGCAGATCTGTACCCTGGGAGCTATAAAACCACATGTGCCAGCCAGCTGGGAAACGCAAAGTGTTTTGACAGGTCCTAGAGCCCAGCTGGTCACATTCAGTTTTAAGGTGTGATACAAACAAGCCACAAAGTTATTCCACATTGCTTACTCTATTGTCATGCCTAACATTGATTTGCACATGCAGCTGGGTTACTATTTAAGGCACGATTAACCTGTTAACCGTGTCTTAAATGTAACGTCAGGTGTCTTGATGTCCAAAGTAATAGTGATTTCTTAAACATTTGTTGAAGCCATTTCATATAATCTAAATATGTCTTCATTACATCAGGTATCTTCAGCCTCCAGGAACTTGGATCCAATGTGCCTTAGAATCAAGAGAACTTCTTACTTTGTGTCTTAAAAAAATCAAAGCCTCCCTTAGCAAGGTTAGTCACTAAATTCTGTTAGTAGTGTATTAAATGAAGTCTGATAAACTTGTTATGGCATTTGGACCCTTTTGAATAATGAACATGCTTACCCTCCCCTAGCACTAATTCATTTCAAATATGGAAGGTGAAATTCCAACCTCTGCAGCCAGTGGGAAAAATCTCATTGACTTCAGTGGCATCAGGCTTTCATTCAGTTTGTAGACTGGGATTAGCAGAGTCATGCAATTCTAGACACTGCTCTTATGATGGGATTAATAAGAAATGAGTGAAGTAAACTGACATTCACAATTCTTTAATAGAAACTAATTTGGCAGATAATTATAACAATGTATGACCTATTTGTTCGTTAGTATTCTTACTCCATTAAAAGAAATTCTGCAGTTTTTCTTCTTAAATTCTGCAGTGCTATTGTGTGCCAAATCTTTAGCAGCAGCTCCAGAGCTGTGCAGCAGCCCTGTGGCAGCCAGGACAGGACCACACTTTACACAGTGTCCATTCTGGATCTGGAATGCAGAGCCGGTGTGTGGGTCCGGTGTGGTCCAGCCCACCCACTGACGCTGCCATTCATGCAGTCCACAGAGCCAGATGAGTTTGACGCCCCTATTTTAAGGGCCTAGCAGAGGCCATATGACTGGTCTGACAAATGACTGGATAAAATGTAATAGCCTCATATTGAATACAGTGTGTTTCCAGTTATATCCGTACATTTTAGTCCTCAAGAAATTATAGTTTGTGCCACAGGCAGACAACAGAAAGGACTAAAGTGACACCAATGCCTGAGGACTCTGCAATGACAGGGACCTAAACTGATAAAAAATACTCAGATGCTTGTAGCAGGAAGTCTAAGGACTGTCTGTGTTCATGGAGTAAAAACCTCCCAAATTCCTTGAGATTCTGATCTGGAGAGAAGAATCCTTCCTGACTCCAGTTCTATCAGTTGGATAATAAGCAGCATGCAAGCAGGACATGCCAGCAGGTCACCAACATAAAGATTTCTCTGTACTTCCTGAGAGCATTAGCCCCCTCCCTTTTGATAGCCGACATCCAACTGTTGTTTAGATTTATATCCTGCCATATCCAGAAAGGGTCAGAGCGGTTTACAATAGATAACTAACAACAAATTACTTACTTGAGGAAGGTTGCTGTAATAGCCAACAGTTCTCCTAAGTCTACCCAGTGATGCAGTTGGTGTAATAAAAGATATCACCTACAAAAATCCTTGACTGTCACATAACAACTTGCAGCCAATTATGCCTTGGGAAAGAGAAATTCCTTCCTGACTTCTGCAAGCAACACTCTGAAGCATGCATTTTTACTGTGACTTAACTGTGAGTGTTTTGATCAGACTAAGAACATTTCTTCCAAGGTGGAGGAAAGAATGGGATCAGGCAGGACAATTCAGAATCCAAGGCCACAAGAAACAGTCTTGCCCTTTTCTGCGCACCCTTCCATTAGATGTTGTCTTAAAGTATATCTTTTAAAAGGTATCTAATTTGCATTTAAAGACTTAGCAATGGTGAGTCTGCCACCTGCTCAGCAAGCTGTTCCAGCATGTGATTAAACTCACTCTGAGAGGGATGCTTCTTATTTTGGCAACATAATTTTTCCAATTGTAGTTTCCAGTTGTTGGACTTCGTTAGTAAGATTGCAAAGTCCCTTCCACTCTTATATTATCTTTTCCATGTACCTCCACACAGCGATCAAATTGTCATTAAACCTTCTCTTCAGTAAGCTAAGCAAAGAGAACTCTTTGACACTCGTGTTGTAAAGCTTGTTGTCTATCCATCACATGATGTTTGTGTCTCTTCTTTCTTTTATTTTCATATTATTCCAGAAGTATAGATGTTAAAATAAAACACGGTGCTCTAGTATCAGTGGTATCAATGCTAGGTATAGCAGCAAGATCACTTTTCCACTTCTATTTGATATTCATTAGTTTTCCTGTAGTGCATAGTAATTCATGTTTTCGCTAAACCTTTTTATACTGTTTTTTATTTAACTGGCATCTTGTCTCAGTGAAAACAAAAAAGGCTTTCTTTGTGTCTGTATTTCTATTCAGGTTGTTTTAGAATACTTTTCCAGGCTTAAAATGGACAGCTGTAGCTCAAATTATTTTATTAGGTTTGTCATGGCATAAACATTTTTCTTAGAAATCTTCCAGTGCTCAACTGTGGATGGCATACTTCATAACTGATAACTCTTATTGGTGGTGCCTCAGGTTTTTTATTCTTAAGGGTTAAGTATGTATGCATTAAACATGTATTTTAATCTTTCAACAGGCTATCTACTCTAGGACGGATGAATAAGCTTCTGTGTTTGTTCCCACTGACAGGTCCGGCTGATTGATGCAGGCTTTGTTTGGACTGAACCCCACTCTAAGAGACTTAAAGTAAAGCTAACTGTGCAAAAAGAGGTAACTAAGTGACAAAAATCTGCACATAGCTTTTTAAAGAGTATTTTGGTCAAATTGTTGTATACAAAAGCAATTTTCTAGTTAGTGGAGGTCAGGTGTTTTATAGAGATATTCCTTATCTGTGAGAAATACAGATTTCACTGTGCAAAATCTGATAAATAGAGCAGTGTTGATATTAGCCCTGAAAAAAAGTATGCTGCTCTTTAGCCCCAAGGAGGCAAAGTAACTGTGCGCATGCAGAAGAAAACGGATGATTTAGCTTATGAAGCTACAGATTTCTCTCCAACACTTTGATAAGACAATGTAGGGGAAACTCATTTTTCAAATATGCTGTTTATGAAGAACTCAGTTTTCTAAATATCAGTTTATAGTCTAAAATTTGTTTGCTTTAGTGAGGAAAGAAGTATTGTCATACAAAGCATAACATATCTGTTTATTGTGTAAACTTTCTATACCAATTATTATTTGCCTACAGCAGTAATTTCTGAAAGAATGTTTGCAGCCCTGAAGGTAAACTATAAAATGGCATCGTCCTGACACAAATGGAGCTGAAAGGAGATAACCAAATCACTTAAATTTTTAAAATTTGTTTCTGCAGGTTATGAATGGAGCAATTCTTCAGCAGGTGTTTGTGGTGGAATATGTTATTCATTCTCAAATGTGTGATGACTGCCATAGAATTGAAGCTAAGGACTTCTGGAAAGCAGTAGTTCAAGTCAGACAGAAGGTAAAAATAGAAGTACAGTTTTTCATTGATCTCATCTGCTTTGGTATCCTGGAACTTTATAAAGTATACAAGTGTTCAATTTCTCCACAATGTATCTAATCAATTCAGTATGGTTGCACTTTACAACCATAGCTCCCTCAGTCCTTCTAGTAATCAAATATGTTTGCTGAAGCACAAAAGTGAAGAAGAGACACAGGGGACACATCTACACATGGTGATTTTTAAGGTGCATTAGGCATTTCTAAGGTGCATTAAGGGTACAGGTCTATTCATGTGTGCTCTTAATGTGCCTTAAAAATGCCAATTTTAAGTTAATCGCACCTAAATTTGATAGCTGCATAAGAAAGTATCAAATTTAGGTGCAATTAAGGTGTCTTAACCCATGTATAGACACCCTACAGTGCCTTAACACTACGTGACTGAGTGGGCTGGAGCTGAGCCTGTAGGGCCCCACACTGCCACTGGGTGCCACCAAGAAGAAGACAGGCAGGTGCTGTTCTGGAAAGCACTGGAGCTGGAGCAGCAGTTCCAGCAGCAGTGGTCCCTGTTGGTGTGCAGTAAGTTGGCAGAGGAGGCATGAGGGCTCCTGTCAAAGCACATGGGAAAGCACCCCCGCCATGACTCCCTGAAGGGGAAGGGGGCAGTGCAGTGAGGACGGGGCCTTTGCTAGCAGCTTTCCCGTGCCTCTCAGAGTGTGTTTGCTAGCCAGGCAATGTAGCCCTGCAGGGGCTAGGCACACCTGGGATTCCAGCACCCTTAGACGCCTGTGCTGGGGCTCCTGTCCAGGACAGCAGGCAGGCTGGGACTGCATCTGCTCCTAGCATAGCTTTCCCTGCTCCACCCACCTCTGCATTGCCCAGCCAGCAAACCCGTCCAGAGGGAGAGGCTCAGGAGAACTTCTGGCAAAGGCCCTGCCCACACTCTGCTGCCCCTTTCCCCTGCAGGGAGTTGTGAGGAGGGCCTTTCCCTTGTGCTTTGACAGGAGTCCTCACTCCTCCTGCCCCCTCTGCTGACTTGTGGCACAACTGACAGGGACCACTGCTCCAGCTCTGGTGTCTGCACCTTGTAGAACAGTGCTTGCAGCATTTTCTTGGCAGCATGGGGCCCCACGGGCTTGTCTCTGGCCTGCTATTGTCTGATGCTGGGGAGATGGGAAGGTGGGGAGGAGATTAGGGCCAGGGCCAGGCCAACTGCATCTGGGGGGACTGGAGGCTCCAACACCCTCTACCAGCACCAGGCTGCACTGCCCAGCTACACTGCCGCAGGTTTGGGGGGCTGTCCGGGGTGCTGACCAGGGCAGGGTGTCGAGCGAGCCGCATTAAGGCGCCTTAAGGCATCCACACGTAGATGCGCACCTAAATCTCCTTAATGCACCTTAGGCTAAGCCACATTAAGTTTAGGCATGTGCAAATTCACATGTAGACGTGGCCAGGACTGACTTAATTTGGTACTTCCTTTTCTCCTTTTGACATGCTGTTTTGGCTGATGGGTTAGACAGTCTTCAATAATAATCATAAACTAAGTGAATTGTGTTGTTTTCAGACTTCTCACAAAAAGACTTTCTTCTATTTGGAGCAGTTGATTTTAAAGCACAAACTTCATCAAAATACCCTTCGCATTAAAGAGATTCATGGTAAGCAAAGTACTTTTCTAATCCGGAAGTAAAAGAACTGATCTTGGTAGCCTGTATTGGGTCAGCAAACAGCAAGTATCCTCTGCTTGCATGTACAGTGACTTCTTATGTGCATAACCTAGGTGTTCAGGATTAAATGTGTTATCCTTTTATTATAGAATATTAAGTAAGGTAGTATTATTGTATAGTACTGTACTGTGCTTTATACATTATACTGTATCTTCATATAGCTATATTTTCTTTAAGATGGCCTGGATTTTTATTATGCTTCAAAACAGCATGCCCAGAAGATGGTAGACTTTCTTCACTGTACAGTTCCTGCCAGGTATATTCTTTCATTTGTATTCCAGCTTAAATAGAAAAATGTTTGAAAATTATTTATTCTTAGAATTTAAAAATTTATGTTAATGAAGATTTCTTAGTTCTGTTACACAGACAAAAATATCCTACAATATCTATTCATGCACTTCTATTAATGAGCCATTCTTTGTCCATGGAGAAGGTTTTTCGTGCTTTTGTTGGCTTATTGTAATATGAAGGCATACTTTCACAATCTGTTTTAACCACTATACTTTGTGCTGGTGCGATTATATTTGAATACAAAAATGAGTTAATTCTAATTTTATTTTGTCTTTCATTAAAGGCTTTATTATATGTGTAACATTTTACTGTTTATATTTTTTAGATCAAAATCATCCCAGCGTTTGATTTCTCATGATATCCATAGCAATGTCTACAATTACAAAAGTACTTTCTCCGTGGAGATTGTTCCAATATGCAAGGTAGCATTTCCTCTCTTTTTAGAAAAAAATTTCTTCAACAAAGTAACTCTGCAAGGACTGATAATTAGTTGCCCTTGTTGGTGATTGTGTTCATGATATGGCATGAGCCCAGTGTGTAATACATCTGTCTAACTTCATCAGAAGCAAAGGAAATCCAGTTCTTAAAGTTTATATGGCAAATTTTTATTTTGTGGTTTAAAAGGTGAAGGCAGTTCTTCTTAGGAGTTCTGAAAGCTCTTGCCTTGAGAATTTCCCTGTTCCCTTTTCAAAGATCTTCCAAATTGGGGTTTCAGTGTCATCCCTAAAGCAGATTTTACACGTCAGCTTCAAGTTCATCTTTGGAATGTAAGCCTGGAAGCAGCCTCCTTGAGCCACTGAGTCCAGTCCCTTGCATTAGCAGATGATTGTTTACTTACTAGGTGTCCAAGCACTACTGATTTCCTATTAATACTTTCTACATTGCCACCTCTTTTGTTAATCCCAGAAAAAGTAATTACTGAACACCAGATCAGACACTGAAACAGAGGGGAGTGTGTATTCTCATAGTTGGGAAATATCCAGAACATTCTGATAGTGTAAGACCAATGCAAGGTGCATGATACAGACAAGGGATGTGATTGTTTTCTGTTCAGTTAGAAGTTGGAAAACAGCCTTGTCCTGTAATTATAAAGCTAATTTCCGACAGCAAGCCTCAAAGGCGTGATTCAGGAATACAAACTAAGCTGTTGATCACCACAAAGTGTCTTGGGGAGTAGTGGTTTTCCCCCATGCTGGTCCAGTATATGACTTAACTGAATGGAGGTAGCAGTGGCTGTGGGTTTCGAGGTCAATTTAAACGCTGGGTTTTTAAGTTTTAGGCTCAACTACAACTAAGGAACTAAATATATGTAAAACTTTTGTCTTTTGGTGTACAGGACAATGTAGTATGTTTGTCACCCAAATTAGCACAGAGCCTGGGGAACATGAACCAGATATGTGTGTGCATCAGAGTGACAAGTACCATTCACCTCATTGATCCCAACACTCTGCAGAGTAAGTGGATTCTCCTTTCCTTGGAAAGTTAAAGAAAATATTATAACAACAGTTCTTCCTATCGGCATTGTTCCTACTGAACATTACCTAATGCAACCTCACGTTTGGATTTTCAAAACTTGAACCAGACTTCTCACTGATATATAAATTAATGACAGACTAAGAAATATCCTAGGCCAGTGGGGGTCAACCTTTTTGGGAGACATCACAAATTAAGCTGTGCCCCTCCCTGAGTACTGCTCCAATCCACTTCCCTTGCCCAATCTGCTGCAGTGCTTTCTACTTCCTGCCCAGTCTGCCATGCCCAGTGCCACATACCCCACACACACGGTGTCTGGGCCATTTGCGGCACACATGTTATTGGGTTGGCCACCCCGTCCTAGGCAAAATGCAGAATCAGAATTACAAACCAGTTAAGCTAGTGCAGGTGGTGGGTAGATTTAGTTTTTCCTTTGGTGCTTTGCTGTGTACTTAATTTGTCAGAGAGATGTCTTATTTCTAGAATTAATATATGATGTATGGAACGTTAATTAACTTACGACTTAGAATAGGCATGCAGCAAGAGAACTTTGCTGGCCTTGTTATGCAAGCATATGGTGGCTACAAGGCACTTCTGCTGTGGGTTCAGACACTGTTTGTTCAGTGTCTTCCGCCAGAAATCCTGTATCAGTGAGCTTGCACCTTGTCACATCCATGACCAGCATTGCTTCTAAGAGAAGTTTGTATCATAAGCCTTGTATGTTCTCTGTTCAAAATAAATACCACAAACCATTTTGTAGTGGTCTTCATCTTGTCCTGGAAGAGTATCCGCCATTCTCCTTCACAATATTGTCTTTACCTTCAGTTGCTGACATTGATGGAAATACTTACTGGCGTCATCCTTTCAATAGCTTGTTCCATCCAAAGCAGCTGGAGGAGTTTATTGTTATGGATATCAGCAGAGTCCAAGAAAGGAAACTAAGTGCAGGTGCAGGGATGAGATCAAACAAAGTAAGTGTTTATTTGCTTTATGTAACACTTTTATACATCTCTTTTCATGCCACCTTACAAAATAAATCACATATATTTGGAAAACTTAACTGGGGAAGCTCCTCTCCAAGATAGGTGTAACACTTTACTATCATATGCAGGGATCCTGGTTTTCTGTGTTTAAAAATCACAAATTCTCTGATTTAAAACACCATCAAGATCCATATTTTTCCATGATTAAAATGAAACGCCACATATATAGGTATCGGTTGAACACAGTGTTTTATTGATATATTTACCATTTTAAAGCAATTTGGAAGCCTACCAGTGCCTCAGTCACTATATAAAATACATTCTAAATATCTGTTAATTTTGACATTTGATATTGGGCTTTTTATCATGGAAAATTAGAGCTCTTCTTGCCCCCTTTACTCAGCTGTTTGCAGGTCCAGCTCTGGCTGTCCCCTCCCTCAGTCCCCCTCCACTGTTCTGTGGTACTGAGCAGCCCTGATATGCTAGTGCCTGCCAATACCATTGCCCCTCACTCCCCACCCACAGCCCTGCCAGAGAGGGCCCCTAGCTGCCAGGGCTATGGGGCCAGGGACTAGGGTCTGCAGCCCCATGCCCCCTCCACCTGCCAGCAGCACCTGAGCACCGGTTGCCACCAGTGGAAGGCAGTGGCTGCTACGGTGAAGCGCAAAGCCATGCTGTCCCTCCCCCACAGATGCCATAGCCAGAGTGGAGCCCATGCGGAGGAGGGTAGATATGGGTTGCCCACTGCAGACTCGGGCTCCCTGCCCTGCTGCCCTCACCCCAGAGCTTCCACAGCCCAGCAGGCAGGACCCAGCAGGGCCAGGCAGGGAAGCTCATTGCCACCACTGGGAGCTCCATGCCACCATGGCAAAGTACCCTCTGCCTGCACAGAAGCAGCAAGAGGCACAGCTCTGTGCTGCTGCCCCCACTGCTGCCAGGCAGGCAGGGGGCACCTTGCCATAGCGGTGTGGGGCTTGAGGCGGTGGCATCAAGCTTCCCTGCCCCACTCTGCCCTGCCGTGTTCCCCACCCAGGTATTGCTATGGTGCATTCCAGCCCCAAGTCCACCCTGCTGAGCTGGGCAGCAGCCCCAGCCTGACCCTGCCCAACTCCCTTCCTCACTATGGGGGGACCTTAATCCTCCTCGCCAGACTTACCTGCAGGGAGCTGCTCTCTAGGCTGCCTGGCAGCCATGTGCATATATCTGTGCACACATCCACATGGTGGCCCCTGCCTGATCGCCCTCCTCCTGCTCCACCCAGCCCCTTGCAGGCTGGAGCTCTGGCACCCTACAAAGGGAAACCCACCATTTCCCTGTTTTTCTCCTTTTAAAGGAGAAAATCCAGGTTTTACTGTGTTTTTCCCTGATGAACAGAAAACCCAAATCCGTGGTCATAAAGTAGGAGTGATATATATACATCATGTTAATTCTCCTTTCAAAAATCAGGTTGCTTCAGCTTGAAACTAAAATTGATTCCATACATTAATCTTCTTACTATTAGGTTACAAATTTTTTTGCTTGCGGTTAATTGTAGGACCCTCCCACAGGCTTGTAGAGTGCATCTTTCATACCACATAACTTTATTTAAAGATAAATCAGTTGTACAAGTTGGATAGGACTTTTGATTTGGCTCAGGGTCTATTTTTAAGCCCAGGCTTAAGTATTTTGGCACAAGGTCCACCTCATTCCTCCTAGGCCAAAACATCAGTGAACTTCTGAATGGTAGTCTGTAGTGTTTTTTTTATTGCATATCTCCGGCAACCTGTGTGTGGCATGCAACACATTGTGGGGGGATCAGGCAGCACGGTGGCAGATAGGGCAGGAAGTGGAAAGCAGAGCAGCGGGTCAGATGGGTGGGGATCAGAGGGCATTGTGCTTAATTTGTATCACACCAGCCAAAGAACTTGACCCCCAGTGTACTAGATGCTGATCCCTGCAGATAAGCAAGGATATAGTCAGTGATATAATATGACATGGTACCAAAGCAGTGCAGATATTTTAATTTTGCAGCTACTACTATTATATGTTATTATGAAAATGTTTTGTTTTCTCTTTCTCTAGCATACTCTGGCTGAAGCTTGGGTAAAGAAGACATCAGAGATGAATACGGATCATCAGTATTTCTGCCGCACCCATTTGGGACACCTTCTAAATCCTGGGGACCTAGTTTTGGGGTTTGTGTTGCTATATTCTGTTTGTATTTGGTGCTTGGTTAGAAGTGTCAAGGTTCTGCAGGTTGTCATGGAACAGAGAATTAGGCTATGTGTTTTTAAGGTGTCCTCCTTAACTCTGAAAATCCCATGTAGTTAGAATGATACTTGATTAAGGCCTGCTTATTGTATTTAGTCGTCATTGCAGCTAGTTTTGTAGCTTTTCCATTTTATAGTGATTAGAGCTATCACCACTGTGAGAGCTGTCACTGCTGTGGGAAGCTGCCGTGGATTCTGTTCCATCTTAAGCTTCACCAGCAGAATTGTCAAGTGTTCTAATTTCAAAAGCCAGTGTCAGAAGGAATGAGGGTAGAGACATGACCAGCAAGATGTTTTGGATCACCTTAGTAACAGAGTCTCGGTACCATAAAGGGACAAAAGCAAGATGGGAGGGGGTCAGTCACTGTTAGCAAAAAGTCTCTTTAAGGTGCATGTATGACAAACTACAGATTAGGCAGAGATGGAGAGGAATTGCAGAGGTTGAGGGGATTTATTAGAAGCTCTAGATGTTGGTATTTTCGAAGTTCTAGTAGGAAAGAAGGTAGCAGTGAAGTACGCAAAGGATACGCAGCTGGATAGCTTGGATTACCAGCTCTGTCCCAGGTAGTAGCTAGGTAATATAACTTACTCTTTGTTATCAAGGATGCTTATAAACATGGATTTTCTCCCTCTGTACTGCTGGCTCCTGGAAATGTGTATCTTTTAAATGAACTATAAAACTAGTTATATCCTGCTGGTGCTTTAGGTTAGCATAAAACATGAAAGGGTGAAATTTCAAGCTGTTAAGTGTATTGTAAACCTCTTCCTCTTTAGATTCGACTTGGCCAATTGTAACCTAAATGATGAATTTGCAAATAAAATGAATCCACATGATGTTCCAGATGTGGTAAGGTTTTGGAGTCTCCTTTCCTTAGAAAAGCTTTTGTATTTTGTACTGTTAAAAGAACATGGTGATGTATACCAGGGCTGTCCTGGGGCAACACACTATTCTGGCTACGCATCACATGCCACAGACCTGCCCTACCCCACCCAGTGGGCACCTCTTGCTGTGTTGTGTGGGCCTTCCTGCTGTGTTGCACCAAGCAGGTGCCATGGGTTCCCTGGACCCTAGGGACAGGGAGAAAAAGCTATGGAAGCCCAGAGACCCCAGGGGCAATAGCAACAGGAGCAGTGGGGTGAGCAGGTCCCAGACCAGGAACCCAGGGACATGAGTTAATCCTTTGTGAGCTATATGCAGATCACGAGTTGAACAGCCTTAGTATATACAACGAATACTTCTTCTTGGCCTAAAAATCATGGTGTTAGGGCCAGGATACTGCAGTTCTGAAAATTATTTCCCGTGATGATTTAACTGGATCTGCTGTCAACTCCTTGCTCAAAATTGTTATGTGCTACAGTTGTGGTGATACCTGTACTGAATAGTGAGAGCGAGTACAATACTTGGGAAGCCTGAGAGGCAGTTTTAAAGGCCCAGCTGACTGTCACTGCCTTTTATTCACATCAGTGGTACAGCTTTCTCATTCTGCCCTCTTGTGTTCTATTGTATGATTGCACAGTAAGTTCAGTTCATTTTATACACACACAAATCTGAACTCTTTGGTACTGTATTTTAAGAAAACATCAATGTTTTATTGAAAATGTATTTTTGGAATATTTTCTATTTTCCAATGAAGGTATTAATAAAGAAGAGTTATGACCGTAGTAAACGCCAGCATCGCAGGAACTGGAAACTGAAAGAGCTGGAAAGGGATAGAGAAGGCATGGATACAGATGATGAAAGGTTTGCTAAATGCTCTAGTTTTTCTCTTTCTCTCAAGTGTAGTAGAGTGCAAGTAAAGAGCAGGTCTCCAGGGAGACTTAGTAAGCAGAGTCCCTGCTTCCTTCTTAGTTCCACACAGACAAGTACAATTGGCCCTGTATTAGGCATTGTATGTGCTGCACTCTGTCAAAGACGGCTTTGGCAAGTCTGTTACATGCTAGGGGGCAGTATGTCTTTGCAGGGGATGCTTCAAAGCCACAGTTTAGTTCTAAGCTTAGAATAAAATTTCATCCTGTCCTGACTAATGAAATAGCAGGGGAGATTATTCCAAATATTAATCAGCAAGAATTGTCTGGTTCTTGTATACTATTCTTAAGCTATTATGAAATTCAGAACTCCACAACAAAAGTATTGACTCCAAGGGCAGAGAGAGAGAGAGAATTGGAGTCACAGGCAGCATGTCTTTAGGATGACCTACTGTGCAGTGAATTGGCTGAAGTGACAAATCAACAAGAATGGGAAAGTATTTGTCATAGTTATGCTAAGTGCCAAATTCAACTCAAAACAGCTGTAAAATTCCAAATTATCCTTAACTGACTGGAAAAATTAAGGCAGAGCGTCACAGTTAAATTGGAACATAAAAACTAAATAAAAACCCTGAGAAAATAAGTCACGTAAAATAAAAATAAGCTAAAAAGAGTATGAGTTATAAATTGGATTTTAGGAGCATATGTCAAAGGGACCAAACCATAGTTTCTTGGTGTCTTTGCTCCCTTCCTACACTGTTGGCTTTGAGGATAGCTAAGAAATTAGAAATGCAGCACAGCTAGGTTCTTAGGTTCTCTGCAAGCATGCTCAAGATATAAAATGGATGCCTTAAATTTATGGAGGTGGTAGACCTAGATCCAGTAAGGGTTGCCTGTCCTTTTTTGCCTAATCCTAAAAATTTGGCTCTGCCCTGGCTTTCTGTGCGTTTTATTTGGGGGTACAAGATTTTAGGAGACAGAATTGCCTTTTTTCATTGATTCCTATTGAACTTGGTAGAAATAGGCAGTAATTCCTCAGATCTCTAATTCTTACCTAGCTGAAGCAATAATGTAAATAAACCTAGTACAAAATAAAATCTGATCACCTGTTAACTTGTGAAGTTTTCTGTATGTTTTCCTCTTCCATAGGCATTTTACTTCTAGTAGGCACAGAGAATTTCACTTAAGGCTGATCTTCCAGGCCTTACTTATGTATTTGTAGTCATTTGACATGACCCCTTTTTATTTTCCCTGAGGCAGCTAGCCTGCCAGACTCGGTCTGCATACTTCTGAGGAAAAAAGAACAGATTTAATGTTTTCATTTCTGAGGCTGTTCTTCTTTTATAGACAGTACCAGGACTTCCTTGAAGATCTTGAAGAAGATGAGGCAATTCGAAAGAATGTCAATATTTATAAAAGTAAGGCTTCTTGTGGCTGTTCAGCTCTGAATAATATAATAACGTGGCTTCAGGTGTTTTTTAACTTCAGGCTATTCAGACGCTTGTGAGTTTTTCAGACTAACATGGCACGCATTTAAAAGGACTTTATATTATTTAAGATCATGATGTCTCTAGATATTTAAAAGCCTTTGATTATTGTGTATGTGTATGTTTTCTGTTTGGGATGCTGGGCAGAGATATGAAGGCTTTTTTCTGACTCAGGAAGGGATTTGCTCTGTTAGCAGCAGCCGTATGTAAGAGTGACAGTTTGCTATTGATAAGTTTTAAGAATGTCATTTCTTGGAGTTTTTATGTCCTTGTCTGGCTTTTCTATTTTCTCAGGTACACACATTCCAGTGGAGAGCGACACAGATGATGATGGTGCTCCACGGATCAGTCTGGCTGAGATGCTAGAGGATCTCCATATCTCCCAAGATGCAACTGGTGGGGAAGGTGCTGATATGATGACATAATAAGAATGTGCATTCATAAATGCAGCAAAGTTCCCTCCCTTGAAGGAAAAAATTTCCAGTATTTAAATAAATGCTACGAACTGCTAAGCTTAACTATAGGCATGTATATGATCTCATGAATGGGCAGTTATACACACATATTTTACTGTATCCTAAATCAGCTTATTTTGTGGATATGATAGAATCGTCCTGGAGATCAGAATTCCTTAGTGGCAAACTGCTGATGTAGGCATCACAACATTAAACGAGCATACGCTTTGGAAGTGTCGCTCGCCACTCATGTAACTTCTGTGGAAACAAAGTGACAAACTGAAGAAAGGATTGTCTTGTGGTTAAGGAAAAGAAGTAGGAATCACAAGATCAAGGTTCTGTTGCTGGTTGTTAGACTTCCTGTCTCGGTTAATCTTTTTCTGCCACCACTCTTAAGTTTCCTTACCTGTAAAATAGGAATATTATCCTACTTCACAGGAGAGTTTTTGTCAGGGTTTTTTTTTTTTTAATCCTTTCTAGACCTTCAAGTAGAATATACTAAATACATCTGTATTACATATTTTTAAACTTAAGTGGGTGGCTTCCCTGTCCTCTGTATAGCAAAGATTGGGCATCCCTGCTCAGTATAATACATACTGCGCAATCCAGAATGTCAGTGCAAGTGAGTGAGAGCAATATGAATAAACTATCTACATCCTTATATTAAAAACAGGTAGATATATGAAAATCTTTAACATCCAGTAAATGTACGATTTCATTGGATGGAAATAAGGATAAGCATGTATAAAAAGCAAAACCTGTAATGCCACTTTCCCTTTAATTTTTCTGAAAAGGATGATTCAGAGTAACTGGGAAGGGCCATAAGGAGACATCCACGCAGAACAGTTGAAAGAAAAGGTCAAAAGTTAGAAAAGGCTGCATTGGCCTTCAAGATAAGGTGAAGATATACCCGGTGGTACTGCCAGTAACCTAGACACTGTGCCATGTGGAGAAGAATGGCTGTAATTAATCTTATAGTCAAGTTTCAGTTCCTCCCTGTGACCTTTTATTCATGGACCTTGCTTGATCCAGGCCTTAAATATCCTTAGTGCCTAGGGGCTAGAACCAATTCCAGTTGAAGTCAATGGCAGTCTCCAAAAGTGGGATTAGGCTTGATTCTTTTCTGGATTATTCTTCATAATGTTGTAATTTGTTTAAGTTCATCTTAGTATTGTCCATTTGTACCCCAAAAAAGATGATTTGGCAGGCATTTTTATGTAGCTAAGTTTGGGAGGGGGGCATCTTGGCACTGAACAAGAGTGGCACACAAAGGGATGACTATTATTTTGCATCTGTGTTACGCTGACCTGATGATCTACATCCTCTTTCAGGAGGTTTGTCAAGTTTTTACACTGTACGGAATCGCATTTAAAAAACCAAAGTCCATAAGGCTGCTTTGATCCCCAGTCGCACTTCATGCCATAAGGTCCAAAATAGAAAATTCATTAAAAAAAGTTTTTACAGTTTTTTTCACGAGAGTGCAGCTATGTAGCCAAAGTGAATTATCACTGTCATAAATATGGATTTTATTATACAGACTTTACTATTGTGGGGAAAATGATGTAGAAATTTGGCCACAAAAATATGCTGCAATGCAACTTTGTGTGGAAATTTGTTTCTGGAATTCTGACTTAAAATTTGAATTAATTTGTTCTCTACCTGACTGAGGTATGTTTTGGGCTGTACTGTGCTCACATGTTTAAAGGAGCTAACATGCCCAAGCCTTTCTTAAACAAATAACAGAGCAAGTGGTGAGTTGTGTAATGAGAGCTACAGCGTTTGTAATAAACCTAGTTTCTCCTATGGCTAACTCTTTCATCTGTTGGCTGGCATGTTTCTACATGTTTGCTTTCTGTCCGCAGTGTCAGCTGGATTGTTATCTTGTCTCTCTCACAATGGAGAAAAAACATGTAAGAAATCACCTTTCAGCCAACCTGTCTCCCAAAAAACAACAGTCTCTGACTAACGCTCCCCTCTTTCCTTTTACATGATTAGGTTCATACCATTTCTTATCATTCTCATTTTGATATTAATTAGCTAAAGGCAAAGAAAGCACCAGTCCTACCAAAGGATAGATAAAAATAATAAATCCCTGATTCCTGCAGGCTGCCAGCTGGTAACTGGAACAGGAACAGCTGGCTGGCTGAGCAGGCAGTGTGCTGTGTGCACTTGAAATTAAGCAAAATTCTAATTTTAGGCCCCCCTAGTCTTGGCAGCATCCCTTTTAGAGTCTAAAAGAAGCTAATCGTGGCTCAGCAGATATTTCATTTGCTGTTTCTGTACCTGTGCTCTTGAAGACACAGCGATTAGTGAGCTTGATAGCAACTACTTATTTTGCAATGAATAATGTGCTGCTGCTTTCTGTCTACACTTCTGCCTGCAAAATCCCTTCTTGTAAGCTATGTTAAGTGATGCTAGCACAGCATGTGATCTGTGTTCACACAATACAAGCACTGCATGATGTATGTGTAGTCAATGCATTTTAAATAAAATGGGTCTTCCCTGGAAAACTTCTTGTATGTTAGAAGATCTTGAAATGAGGCAAAAAAATAAAAGCCATTTTAAAAGGTTTTTTTTGGTTCTTGACTGATTCAGTGTGGACAGATAGAGATTCTGTTGCAGCAAAGGGGACCCTTTTCTGCAACAAAATCCTTCAAAAAAACCAAAGTTTTTTGTTTCTAATTTATCAGAAATGGCTTAAATAATTAGTCTACACCACAACAGGTTCTTCATAGCAGTTACATTTTACTACAGTTTCATAATAAATTTCTAGTTGCACAGTCATGGAAGGAGAAGCCTATGTTTACATTTCTTCATTGCTAAATACTTATTTTGGATTGACTAATTTCTTGGCAGAGGTAAGATCTGTTAGTAAATGACAGAGAGTTCCCCAGATTAACCTAAAAAAATGCTGAGTTTTGAGAACATTTTTTTAATTTTAAAGTAGTCATAGGAAGCTGCTAAGGAAAAATCCTACCATTTGGTGATGCTGTATTTCCTTTAGGTCCTGTGTCTGCTTAAATTTTTGAGGAAGACTGTATTTTTCTGAAGAGAGAATCATAAAAGGTGCCATACTGTAGTAGTCCATCTAGTGTAGTATCCTGTCTCTGGTGACCAAACTAAATGCATTAAAGGGAGAGCATTGAATTAGGTATATCTAGAGTGATCTATCCCCTGTTCATTTATCATCCGTAACATTCACCGTCATTGGTTTTGAGATGCCAAAGGATACATCCCTGACTGTTCTATTTAATAGCTATTCATCTATTGTCCATGGATTTATTTAGTCTGTTTTTGAACTTGGTTACACTATCTGTCTTTACAGATACAGCCACAGTGTCTTTATAAAGGCTACACTATCTCTTGTAGTAATGAATCCATAAGTTGATGACTACACACTACATAACAATACTTTCCCTTGTTAGTTTGAGTCTCCTGCTTATTTCATTGAGTGCCCCCCTAATTCTAGCATTCTGGGACCTGGTGAGTAGCAGCTTCCTGTTCACTTTGTCCACATCTTTCATGAACAGACCTCTGTTGTCTTTTGTATTCCCCCTTCCCCCACCAGCCTTTTCCTTTCCAGACTAAAGAGTCCTAATCTTTTGAGTCTCTTGCCCTTCTCTACCTTTTCTAATTCTACTATCTCCTTTTAGAGATGCAGAGACCAGAACTGTGCACACTATGCAAGATGTGAGCACATCAGGATTTGTACAGTGGCATGATATTTCCATTCTGTTTTCAATTCTTTTCTCAACAGTTGCTGCTGGACACAGCTACTGTTTTTAGAGAACTATCTATAGTGACTCCAAGGTCTATTTCCTGAGTTGCAACAGCTAGTTCAGAACCCAGAATTACGCATATATAATTGAGGTTATTTTTCCCTGTGTGCCTCACCTTACACTTGTTGACACGGAAGTTAATCTGCCATTTTTTTGCCCGCTTGTTTAGCTGTGTGAGATCTTTCATGAGTCCTCTCCATCAGCTTGGGATTTGACTATTCAGAATAATAGGGTAGGAATGGGCATTGGTGTCAGTTGGACAAGTTTATTACAAAGTCTTTTTAATATCCATCTTAAAACTCTACCTCTTATCAAAAAGCAACTTCTTTGTAGAAATTCATGGAGCAACTGTTGTCTACTGGTCAAAGCATGGGATTTGAAACTAGAATTGCTAGGTTGTCTCTGTCTCCATGGAGTGAACTTTAGGATGTCTTGTAAGCCCAGATGCTGCAAGCGTATGCAAGCCAACTCATTGAATGCAATGAGATTGGGTTCTGGTCCTTGATCAGGGATGTTTATGAATTTTACATGACATGGTCATTGGATGAAATAGAGAAATAGTTGTGGTGCTTGCAATTTCTCCATCCTAGCTGGATGACCTAATCATTACAATGCAGTCATGTACTCTCATGCTGGCCCTAGGAATCTCAAATATTTTGTTGCATAACAATGTGACGGGTGGGGAGCAGGCGGTAAAGTGTCCCTGTCCTGACTACCCGTGTTAGGGCACTTTCCTGAAAGGTGAGAGAACCCTTTAGAACCTGTTGTGGTGGAGACTAATTATTTGAGTCATTTCTGATAAATGGCAGATTAACTTCCATGTCAACAAGTGCAAAGTTAGGCACGCAGGGAAAAATAACCTCAATTATACATCTGTAATTCTGTTTGAAGAGGGTATTGAAGACAGTATTGAACTTTAGGTCTCCCATTCCTAGGTAAACTCACTAGCCACTAGGTTAAACAGGACACACCACCACAAAGACTAGCTCTTATTTTGATCCTGGTTTGAAAAGACACAATTTTGTGTTTATGAGGAGCCTAACCTGTCTATGTGCAAGTTCTGCTTTGAGCATGCCTACTGGCTCAGGTCCCTCAGGGGACTTTGGCGAAGGAGTTCTGATGTGGATTAGGGGCCAGATTGTTCAGTGGGGCTGTTTTGGGTATAGACAGAGATGCAGCTACAGCAGCTGGGAACTTAAATTGCACAAGGAGACACCTCTTAGGGTTAGGGGTGGAGCAGCAGGGGATTGGATTGCAGCTGTGTACTTAAACACCTACATTTTTATTGAATCCAGCCCTTTTATTATCAGGAAGATCAACCTGACTGCCTCACCTGAAGTGTTCCACACCCATCCCACATACAGCTGAAGCTTTGAGCATAGTCGTGTGTTATTATATACACATAGTTTTAAATATAAGTAGGAGGCAAAAGTGGCTGGCATAAGTAAAAACAAAAACAAAAAAAACAACATAAGAATTATCCTGCTTAACTCGACCCTAATCCCTGTGGAGGGATTTTTCTTTTCTTGCAGTAATCTCTGGAGCTGTTATCTGAAGTGCAAAATGCTAACTCATCAAGCTGTTCTTATTTTCAGTACTTCATTTAATTTCCCTTTTCACCCAAGAGAGAACTGCAGGAGTTGGGAGATTGTGTACAGGCATTGCCATGAATTTATAAAAATCTTTGTAAGCCCTGACAGTTTAGACCATAAAACTGTCAGGCCTCTACCACCAGCCTCTGCATATTCTTGTTTCACTGAATGCTGCTTGAATGCTACAACTAGGTTGCTGGAGCCACCCAGGATAAGATAGGATTCTTTGGGTAAGCACCAAGTTACTTTTAGTCTTGGGATAAAATTTGCCCTTGTGCAAATGGGTGGCACAAGGTGAGGTTCTACCTGAGAGCAAGCAACTTCAACACTAGATAGTCTGTTTTGTTGGCAGTACCTTGGGTATGGATGTTTTCAGAATTATAGCTCTCACTGTCTACCCATAACCTGAAGTATGACATTAGATTTTTTTTAATTGTCTTTTTTTGGTGCTAATACAACCTAAAATGCAAAGGAAGGATTCAATTAAACATCTATCTCAGAGAGCACATCTCCCATAGCTTCTGTATTGTCAGCATTTCAAATATACGACTCATTTTGGGGTCTGAAAGCCATTAAAATTTTCTGTGCTCTGAACAATAGCAAATGGCATCTTAAAGGTTTTTAGTTACAGTAGCTAGTGAGGGAGGAGACTTCTGGTGGTGTAAATTTAAATCTATGACATGAAAGTCCCCAGGTTTTAGGAAAGAAATGAAAAGGAATTAATAGATATGGTTTAGGAAAGCTGATAGTTGAAATTTTTATTACCCATAAATGTTTAATGTAGTGTGTTCTTACAGATGGGCAGTGAGTAATCCAAGGATTTGTCTTCAGATGCTGAGATGAGTCACATTTCTCATTTTAAAGCATTTGGGGGGCAGGGATTTAATTTTGAGAGAAAATAACAGCTATCTCGGCAGGATGGCTCCAAAGGAGAGCAATGTGTGCTGTAGAATATTACACAATTCCACCCATCGATAGGCAGCACTTCAGGGAGTCTGGAGTGAGTGGGGGAACTGGCGTGACTGCCACATCTGCCTGTCTCCAGCCTAGTAATTTATTCTGCCCCAACCTCAAGTCCTCTCAATTGTTCTGAGCCCCCCATCAATTCTACACCCCAAATCTGCTTCTCCCCTTGTTATTTCTGATAGAGAATCTGCCCCCTCTGTGCCTTTTGCAGCTTTTGTAGGCATTTTCACCCCTGGGCTCAGTGCTCTAGGGAAAATGAATGGCAGGAAAGAAAGGCAGACTAACCCATTTCTTGCAGGATGGGTGGGAAGCAGGAACCTAGCCAATTTGGCAGCAGGCTTGGCCCTTTCTCCCAGGAAAGGAGGAGATTCCATCTATCCATCAATAGATCCCTCCTTTAAGAAACAGCAGGCAGTGTTGGGGGGCAAAGGGAAGTAAAATAGCCCCCCAGCCTAGCAACAGTACAAA